TTCCTCTAGGTCTACCCTACCCGCCTGAACCAGCAGGTAGAAATCGACCTCTCGGGGACAATCAATCCCCGAATCGACGTTCTTACTCCACCAGCGGAGGTGGGAGTAAGCGCCGTCGACGGGAAGCCGCAGAGGTCGATTTTGCCGCCATCCCTACAGCGGGGTAAGTCGGCTGCGATACGTCGAATTCAGCTACGCTATTCGCGTAGCTGAATTTGCATATCTTAAATCGACACCCCCCCCCCTTTAGTGTAGACATAAGTGGCTGGGCAGTGTGTAACCTCGGGAGTTACAGCGCTCAAAGCTTCTTTACTGCACACAAACTTGCCAGACAGGGCCTAAATCCAGTGTCTCTTGTCAGTCCGTGATTTTTAGTGTCTAGCAGAGTAATGAATTTAAGCTCCCAGGCTCGCCTTTTGAAAGTGTTGTGCAGGTTTCCTTTGAAGATAAGGATTGATAGGTCAGACACAGAGTGATCACTTTGTGAAAAGTGTTCACCCCCAGGGGACGGGGTGTTTTTGTCTTTTATCATTTTCCTGTGTGAGTTCATTCGAGAGTGTAGTGATTGTCTGGTTTCACCCACACAGTTGTTTTCGGGGCATTTTTAGTGCACTGGATGAGGTACACTCCATGTTGTGATAGGCATGTGTAGGATCCATAGATCTTGAAAGCTGTGTTGTGGGAGGTGTTGATCATTGTAGCAGTGGAGAGATGTCTGCAGGTTTTGCATCTGTTGTTCTGGCAGGGTCTGGTGCTGCTTTGAGTTGGTGAGGACCTTGCAGGGTGTTTGCAGGTCAGAAGTGGGGGTTCAGGAAAATTTTCTCTCAGGATGGGGTCCCCATCAAATATGGGTTGTAGTTGTTTGATGATACCCTATATGGGTTCCAGACTGGGGTGGTAGGTGACAACTAGGGCTCAGAAGGGGACAACTAGGGGTCAGACAGTGGGGTCAGAAGGGGTTTTATTTCTGTATTGAAGCAGGTTCGCTCAAGGCATTTGGGTGGCACATTCCATGATGCAATCTACTTCTCTGGTGGAATGCCCTTGTTTGGTGAAGGTGGTTTCAAGCGTGTTAAAGTATGTATCCCAGACGTTCTCCTCAGAGCATATTCTGTGGTATGTGAGTGCCTGGCTGCAAAGAACAGATTTCTTGGTGGGTTTGGGGTGGTTACTGGACATGTGAAGGTAGGTGTGGTGATCGTGGGTTTCTTGTATATAGTTGTCTGTAGGATTCCATTGTTGAAGCTGATTGTGGTGTCCAGGAAGTTGATGCTAGTGTGGGAGTGTCCCAGAGAATGTTTAATGGATGGGTGGTGGTTGTTGAAGTTGTGGTGAAAATCTGTGAGGGGGTTTAAGTAGTCTGTCCAGAGGATGAAAATATTGATGTATCTCAGGTATACCATTTTTTTGTGGTGTATTTGTCCAGAAATTATTCTTCAAGGTGGGCCATGAAGAGGTTGGCATATTGGGGAGCCATCTTAGTACCCAGAGCTGCTCCCATGGTTTGGACAAAGTGTTGGTTGTTGAATGTAAAATTGGGTGAGGATGAAATGGATGAGTTTGGTGATGTGTTTGGGGTGGATCTCTGAGGGACGTCCATTGTCATGTAGATATTTGAGGCAGGCAGCAATGCTGTCATTGTGAGGGATGTTGGTGTACAGGGAAGTGTCATCGGTGGTGGCAAGGATGGTGTTCTGAGGCAGGCTGTTAATGTTGTGGAGTTTCTGGAGGAAGTCAGTTGTGTCCTGGAGGAAGCTGGCCCTTTGTGTGGGGAGTGGCTTGAGGTGTGAAGGTCCCTAGGGTGCATTCATGGGGATGAGTTTGTAGAGGTTCTCTTGGAGTTGTTTGGGGAAGAATTTGATGATGTCCTTAAATTCCTGGGTGAATTGTGGTGTAGGCTCTCTTCTGAGTTCTTTCTAGTAGTTGGTATCAGAGAGTTGTCAGTTGGCCTCGTTAACATAATCACCACAGTTGAGGACTACAGTGGCGGCCCTTTTGCTGGTTCAATCACTATCTGGTGGTTAGATTTCAGGGACTGTATGGCTGTCCTCTTGGCGGTGGAGAGATTATGGTGGATGGCAAACGGGTTCTCAGAAATACAACATTAGCCTCTGGGTTTACATAATTGGCTCAGCAGCCGTGTTATCACTTGATTTTTAAATCCCATTTCCACTCCTGATTTAAACTTGGAAAGGGGGCAGTAGAATCAGTCGAACTGAATGAGCATGAGCCATCATGTACTTTACTCGCCTTAATTCTCTGAATGTTAATCCTGCAAAGAGGCTCTCCACTTTCTTTTCACGCTCATGAGGCTGATTCATTCCTGTCTCATTCATTTCTTACAGAAATATGTTTCCTTCTAACCTGATTGAGGCTTCATTCCAGCAGGTGAGTTCCCTTGATCCTGAGCTCCTAAGTCACCTCTCAGCTCCTGAGAACGAGAACAGCCCCATGGGGACGGGTCACATGGGCAGCCCGGTGGGCTTGGATGGCTCTCTCAATATCAGTGATTAGCACCTTTCGCTGTAGGAGCCTGCCCCGGAAGAAGCGCCCCCCCCCTCCATACTCACCCACAGTGACTGTGGCTCGTCACAAGGGTGGATGCATGGCGCATGGTTTCGTGGCGCATGGTTGGAAGCTTCAACTCACGTGTGCTGGGGCTGCACATGTGCCCTGGCCAGGCTTAGAGCCCTCCTGGCTGGGAGGCTGCACGGTTGGGGGGAGGGGGTCCCTCGCTGGTTATATGTCGTGTCCTCCCCAGACTCAGCCTCCGTACACCTGGGGAGTTAAAAATGAAAAGGCTCTTCTGCCCCCCACTAGAATGAGCCTAGGGCCAGATTTCCCAAAGACCCCGGGGCTCAGCTCCTTTGGAAATCTGGCCATTAATGCTGCTCTGGCCCGAGCTCCTATTGGTACCAGACGGCAGAGCCTGCAGGGAAAGGGCGAACAGCAGAGCTTCCGCCTCCTGTCCAGACTCGCCAGCCCCACCCTGAGGGGCATGTTGGGGTGGGGAATCACCAGGAGGTAGAGAGGGGCAGGAAGCTGGGAGGAGGAGCCGGCCTGTGGGGTGGAGCGTGGAGAGCCAGGATGTGGGGAAGAGAGCCTGGGGAGAAGGGTGAGAAGGCCTGAGAGGGAGAATGGATGGGGACTGGAGGGGGGAGGGAGAATGAGCCGCTCTGTGGGTGCAGGGGGAGGCCTAGGGGAAGGAGGCTGCATGTGTGGTGGGGAGGGCGAGGGGAGAGAGTCTGGGAGGGGGAGGGAAGGCAGAATGGCACGTGTGGATTTTGCAGGGTGGAGGCTGTGTAACAAGGACCACGTGGATTGGGTAGAGGGAGCCAGCATCAGGTACCAGCCTATTCCAGGCGAATGTGCACCTGTGGTTTGTGTTTGCTGGATCTTCCCAGGGAGGCAGTAATCGGGGGGTGGAGGGAAGAGCCTGGTTTTGGGGGTATGAGGCAGAAGAACGCATGTGAGAGACGGTGAAGGTGGGGAGAGCCCAGGGCGATTGGAATGTGGAACACGAGAGGGGGAAAAACCTGAAGAGGAAGAGAGAAGGAAAAGAGAACAACTGTTCCACAACCAAGAAAAGTGGGATAGAGCAAGAAATAGACTGAAAAAGTCAGGGGAAAAGATCACAAGGTCAATGAGAGAGGAAAGGAAAAAAGCGAGTGAAGGAAAAAGGCAAGAGAGAGAAATGCGAGGG